GACAGGGACCTTCCACGATTCCAGAGTTGGTTAGTGACACCTCAGAAAAGGTGGACTTGATACGGAAACATCTACTTACAGCTCAAAGCCAACAGAAGAGCTACACTGATAGGTGGTAGAGACCACTGGAGTTTGAGATTGAAGATCACGTCTTCTTGAAGTTTATGCATAAAAGAAGAGTGGTTAGGTTCGAAAAGCAGAAAAACTATCGTCGAGGTATATCGGGCCCTTCAAGGTACTCGAGAGGGTCGGTACAGTCGCTTACCAGTTAATGTTACAAGCAAACCTATCAAGTGTTCATGTGGTATTCCATATTTTCATGTTACAGAAGTATACTCCAGATCCTACACATGTGGTGATTAAGGTGATCTGATTGTTAATGTAGATGAGACATTCGAGGAGGGATCGATGCATATAATGGATAGCAGAGATCAGGTTTTTCGTGGCAAGACAATGAGACTAGTGAGGTGATGTGGCAGCACCATGATATGAAGGATGCGACATAGGAGCGTGAGGATACTATCTATTCTACCTACCATTCCTATTTAAGGATGTAGGTACATTTTTAGTAGTCATAGAGTATTTTATGAATTGTTGTATATGCATGTCATTATATGTGCATGTGTGTGTAATTTTAGAGATGAAATTCCTTTAATGGAAAATATTGTAAAACCCTAGAAAATTAAAAAAAATATTAAAAGGGCAAAATGGTAATTAGTCATTACAATGTGGGTCAAAAATTTGAATTTTTTTAAAACTCGGACGATGAAACAATCCTTATTTTTGGATCTATATCGCGAAATTTAGTTACCCAGTCAATTTTTATTGAATTTTGAGACAGTCAAATTTTTACATTTTACGAGACAATTATAACATTTCATATGCATCTAGGTTGGGGAGTAACCTCTTCAGGAGATATCTTATTGAGTATGACTCACTCTTTATGGAAATACGTTTTAGGTATTACACAAGCTTCAGGGGACGACCCTCACTTAGGCTTGTGTTGAAGAAAGGGCCATCCGGGTTGTGGCACTTAAATTACATGTTGTAATTTCTTGTATGTTATGTTTTGACTTTGTATAAATCAAGCACATACTTGTATTTTGATTAAGACATGAAATGATACATTATTATCTTGTAAAACAAATTAATGGAATAGATGTTGTATGAGTTTTTGGGTTAAAACTTGGATCTTGGATGGTTTGGAGAAAAAATATACTCTGGTACCGGTATCTCACAGGTTCCTAGAACCCAAAAAGCTCAGGTACCAGTACTTAGGCTCATAGGTATCGATACCCTATTGATAGTGGGCTCAAGTACCGATACGTACGCTCACAGGTACTTGTACCAAGCTATCGAGAATCCATGTACCACTACCCCGTCATACAAGTACTGGTATCTAGCAATCAAAAGGCTCAGGTATTGATACCACTTATCACATGTATCAATACCTCCTCCCAAAATTAAATTTTAAATATAACATTGTCATTCCTTTATATATTGGGCTCTTTTCATTTGGATGATGTAAATGAATGAATATTTAAGTTCTAATGTTGGGGTTTGGACCTAGGGATGGTCATATGAGTAATATTTAAACAGGTTATGTGTTGGGTACTGCTCCCGTACAAATGAGAGTCTGCCCAGATGTCATTTTGGTTACGATCTTGATGAATGGGGTGTAATGATGTGGTATCGGGTTATACGTTATCCATGAGTATTCTATGGGTTAATAGGTGATTAACAAGTTAAGAAAGGACTCCTAAATTTTTAGGTATCATAGTGATTGTGGGTGATGATGGTGGCGGGTTATGGGTGTTAGTGGGTAGGGGTGGTTAGTCGCAATGGGTGGTGGTAGTGGTGGTGGGTGGTCAGTGTTTGTGGGTAGGGGTGGTGGTTAGTGGCGGAGTGTGTGGGGTGGTGCTGGGTGGTAGTTGACAGTGCTGGTGGGTTATGGTGGTTGGCTGGTGATAGTGGGCGACGGGTGGTGGTTGTTGTACGATAGGTGTGGTAGTGGTTGACGGCGATGGTGATGGTAATGTGGGTGTTGTTGGCGACAGTAACAATGGTGATAATTATGGTGGTGGTGGTAATTATGGTGGTGTGATGGTAGGTGGTTACTGTAGACTTGTAATAGTGGGTGGTGGTTGTTGACAATGGTGATAATGATTGTGGATGGTTGTCGTAAGCCAGTGACTATAGACTATGGTGGTTGACAATTGTAATAATGGTGGCGTTCGACAATGCGGTGGCATTGGGATGATGTTAGTAGTGATAAAAAATATAAAAATTAGATAATGATAAAAATTTTTAAATATTTTTTTTGTCAGTTAAATAACTTCATCTATTAAAGGTATTTTGTCAATAATTAATTTTATAGACTTTTAATATTAAAAATGTTAAGAATAAACGTTAAGACGAAAAAAGTCGTTCGTCGTGGACCTCCCACCAATTTTTTTTTTCCTTTCTTAACTTTAATGATTTTCAGTTGACAGCTAAAGATTTTGTCCACGTTGATATGCTAGTTAAAGTGACAGGTGTATATCAAAAAGTAGTAAGTTTAAAACTACAAATCCACGTAAGCTCGGTGGTATTTTAGGATTACTCTTTTTTGTTTTTTTTTTTTAGCACTACTCTTTTTTTATCAAAAAGCTCAGTGGTATTTCAGTCACACGCACCCACGAAGCATCTACCATCAATGCTGACCCTACGAGATTTTTTCCACCATCCCACTCTCTCTTTTCTGGGGTTAGATCCTCTTCGTTATTTTTTTTTTTTTTAATTTTTTTCAATACAATATTAAATGAGTGACACGTATAAAATTTTAAATTTTAATAAATAATTTTTTTTTTGTGAAAATATTTTTTAATAATATTAATATTTCATTAATAATAAAAATAAATAAAAAAATATCTTATTTATTAAAATTTAATATTTTATATGTATCATTGATGTAACATTGTATTAAAAAAAATTAATGGAAAAAAAAGTAACGGAGGGGATCTGTCCCTCTTTTCTTAAAGGGTTCCATCCCGCGTGGCTCATCATTTCTGCTTTCACACATCTTCTCAAACGTTTCCACACTAGCTCTGTCCCTTTCTCTCTCTCTACAAACCAGTCTATTTCCTTCTTTTTCTTCTTCTAATGGCCGCACATGAAGTAGGACAACCTTCAGAATCTCTCCAACACAAGGTAAAGTACCATTTCTGATCAGAAGCTCCAACTTGTTTTTCGACCGTTAACAAATTGCAACTCCCATATGTTGTAATATCTTCTCTTTCTTATCTCCCAGACTTGGGTCTTGAAGGTCTCCATTCACTGTGAAGGCTGCAAAAGAAAAGTGAAAAAAGTTCTGCAGCAAGTTGAAGGTCATTACAGAAACCTAATTAATTATGTGCCCCAAATATTCTAGTTATTATCAATATACATATCTGTTCTATCCATCAAAATTTAACGAATGAATGGACAAGCCTGTGGTTGTGAGTACCTTTGTTTAGCTAAAATTTCATAGTAGAGAAAATTTTCTGATATGGGCTTTGTTCATTTCCCTCTATTTTCCCACTTTCTTCTGATTTTTCTAGTGTTTCTTTTTCTATTTCAGGTGTTTATAACGCAGATATTGATACCAAGCAACAAAAAGTAACAGTAACTGGTAACGTAGATGCATCGACTTTAATAAAAAAACTGATAAAGTCCGGCAAACATGCGGAGTTATGGCCAGAAAAGATTGATGAGAAGGAGAAAAAGTCGGGCAAAGCGAAGAAAAAAGAGAAACAGAACGACCAAGAAAGCAGCGGAGATGGCCGTGGTGGTAGTGATAAAGAGATCAAACCGGCGGTGAAAATTGAAGTAGTTCAAGTTTCTACTAAAAATAGCCAAGTTTGTGGTGCTACAGCTGAACATAGCGGAGGTGGTGGTGCTACTGCATCTCAACATAGCGAAACTGGTGGTGGTGGCGGTACTAGTCCAGCTAAGCCTAGCGAAGGTAGTAGTGGTGGCGGTGCTAAAGTTGGTGAAGTTGGCTCTGAAGCAAGCAGTGGTGGACAAGCAGCGAAGGAATCAAAAGCTGAGGGGAAGAAACCGGTGACAGCCGCCGCCGGTAACCAGTCAACGGTGGCGACGGAGAAGAAGGGTGGTGAAAGCGATTGTGGACGTGCTGAGAATAGTGGCAGTGGAGGCAATGGAAATGGTAGTAAAAAGAAGAAAAAGGAAGGGCAAAATGGGAATGATGCCCAGGGTGTAAAGTCGAGTATTGCACCTGTAAGCACAGAACCACCAAATCATAACACGGTACCACCTCTTGTTTCAGACCAAACTAATCACAGCGCTCCACGTCAGCATGTGAACCATCATCACCCACCACATTACTATGCAGCAGCACCGGTATCTGCGGTGAGCTACAATACGGCGTATCCTACTAGCAGCTATACGGCGTCGTACTATGCCTCACCACCTACGGCGTATCCAACTAGCAGCTATACGACATCTGACTATACCTCACCACCACCGTATTTCTATGGGTATTCATATCCCGGACCAGAGAATGAACCTGCAATATCGGATTTAGACTCCCACCCGCGACAGCCATTGGATTCATTTGAGATTTTTAGTGATGAAAATCCCAATGGGTGCTCAATTATGTGACGGAAAATATGGAATGTAGCATTTGTACACGGCCATTGGGCATAGTTGGCTTATACTACTCGTATAAGTGTGTTTGTAACATATAATTAGATGTTTAGATTTGTAAAATGAGAGATCAGAGTAAACGTTATGAGAAATGAAAAGGGGCTTTATGGGGGGGGGGTTTGTTGGCTCTTTTTAATAAGTTGTTCTTTAGCTTTATTTATCTATTTTTTTGGGTAAGCTTTATTCAGTAATTTTTTCTCCCAAATATCTTTACCACGCATTATTTAGAACTTTGATTTTAGTGCAACCTTTTTAATAAATGTAGCACTCCCCAACGACCTGAATAAATTAGATTCAAATTTTATGTGATCAAGATGAACGTTTAGTCAATGCCTATCTTTTGGTGCTATGATTTTACATTGGAGGTATCTTTGATGATGTAGTGGAGGATGTTTACAGTTTTAATGCCAGGAGAGTCATTGCCAGTCCTACCTTCAGTGACTCTTGTTGGTGCTACTTCTTCAGTGCATGTCCCACCAGAGCCGCCACCTAGAATTATGATTGAGCCTCGAGATCCAGGAGTGGAGATTGAGAGTAGTAAGTTGAGTCCGAGTTTGATGAAGATGACGAGGGAGACTCTGAGCAGATGAAGTTAGGATTTATTAGTTTTGCCGTTGTAGGAATTGTCTTGATGGATTATGTAATGGTTTACGTTGTTTTTGAGATGTGATAATATTTTTTAGAATGGAATGAGTTTGGGAATGAAATGAGTTTAGAAATAGAATGAAATGTGTATTACCATTCAAATATTTAGCAACTGTTTAGAATTAAGTACTAGAATAGATTGTTCATTCTATTTCTTTGTTTGGATAAAATAATTTTTTCATTGGAATGGAATCAACTTTAACCAAAATATCTATAGTGACTAATAGTAATTAATAACAATTTTTTTTTTAATGATTGTGATTGCCTTTCAAAATTGTATAAAAAATTTTATAATTAGAAAAAATGAGAATTCATTGAAAAAAATTAAACCCCTATAAATTTTAAAAAATTAGAAAACAAATTCTTTAAAAATAGATTCACAAAAAGAAATCAATATAAAAAACTATTCAAAAGTGGTCATTCATTTCAAATGAACAACTATAATTTTTTGTGAATTCAATAGAGCACTTGTGCAAACTCAAAAAGAAAACTATCAAGGCATCATCTGGTTGATAAATTTAAAGAAAAAATTTATTGATAAATCCAAGAATCACAAGAATCAAAAAAATATAAGAAACAAAAAAGTCAACTCATGGCTTTAATCCTTCAAAACATGTTAAAGTGTCTAAATTTCTTCTTTGGTAGCAAACAGTCCATCACACAGCAACCTTCAGCAGTGCTTCCACAAGAAACCAACTCAGATTCTCTCTCTCTCTCTCTCTCTCTCTCTCACACAGAGAGATACATTGATGGTACTATCAACCATTTTTTTTTTCTTTTCTCTCATTTCTAATGGTACTTTTAGCATATGGTTGGTAGACAAACTAAATTGGCATAGAGAAACAAACATTCTACAAAAGAAAAAATACATAAAAATAAAGGAGAACCAATGTATCAGTCCCAACTGAGTTTAAATCTAACAATACATTGTATTCTCTCAACATTGTCTTCATTTGATAATCATGTGTTCAAAAAACGAAAAAAGAAAAAAAATATGTTAACCCTTACAAAACTCTAAAATGGATATGAGATTGTTGACGAAATTGATTGAGGTGTTACCTAAGATTGGTGGCAAGGTTAGATCTTGTATGTTCATAGATGTACACCCGGTCGTTGTTATGGTCCCTTGCATCACGAGGAAATGATGAGACAGAGAATAGAGGTACTGCTATGGTTCTTGGTGAGGGAGGAGTAGTCATTGAGGTGATGTGAGGAGAGAGAGAGACAGAGAGAGAGAGACAATGGGTAGGGAAGAAAACGAAGAGTGAGAGGAGAACAGAGAAACAAAGAACGGAAAGATGTCGGGACCATCGGGTTTTTTAGTTAGATCGATTGAGGTTCGTTACCATCGATTTGGGAATGGGCAATACCATGTTTAATTTGGTAATCACTAATCCTATATTTTGTGGTATTAGTTATTCCTAAGGAATGATTAGAAATGAGAATGAATTTTCATTACCACAAACAAAACAATGGAATGAACATTCTTAAGAAATGATAATTTCATTCCGAAAGTCTAATCCTACGTACCAAACGTAGCATTAGGATAGTAAACCTTAGGTTGTGTCCTAAAGTTGTTATATTTTGTCTACTTTTGTACCCACTAATATATATATATATATATATATATATACACCAGTCATAACATGTATCTGAAGGCATGATGAAACATAAAATTTAAGAGCCTAAAAAATCGTTTTCACTATATTAAATTTTTTTAATATGTGTATACTATCGTACAGATATAACTTTAGAAAATAAAAATTATATTAAACTACGAATTAACCAATTATTAAATGATTAAACACGTTGATAGAAATAAGTGATGTGATATTTTTAAGGGAAAAAATGTAGGGAATAAAAACTTAAGGAGCAGGAAATGGAGAAGCAGCAAGAAGAAGATCAGCAAGAATTAAGGAAAAAGTCTTTCAACCGGTTGAACAGTGCATAAACAGAGCTTCGACCAGTTGAAGTTCATTTCAACCGGTTGATCAGAGATTTTTACACATNATATATATATATATATATATATCCTTTGAGTAGATGAAGTTAGGATATACTAGTTTTGTTGATGTAGGAGTTGTCTAGATGGGTTATGTATTGACTTAGGGTAGTAAACCTTAGGCTGTGTCCTAAAGTTGTTATATTTTGTCTACCTTTATACTCACTGACATATATNATGTTGGAATCATAGAAAATACTGAAAGTATATCAACCGATTGAAAACCAATTTTTAACCGATTTGTCAGAGGAGTTTTAAAAAAGTAAAAAGAACTGAGGATACTTCAATCAGTTCATCAGGGCATTTTAATCGGTTCATCATACTATTTCAACCATTGGGTCTTAAGTTGGCTACACAGAGAATGACTTTCATGAGTTTTCATTGGTGCGTGATGTCAGCTACTTCATTCCTACGCTCATGAGAGGCTACCAATCCCAATGAAGTTCATCTCTATTGGTGGAAACCACCTCCCACATTTCAAGAAGACCACCCATTGGACAAGTTCGGAGGAGGAAGCTTCACTGGCAATCCTCTATTACATTTCGGCACTATGTTACTATGTTATTTATTACAGGTTTCGGAGTTATGAATTTTATTTTCTATTACATTTCGGCACAATCTAACACAATCTAATGGATGAGGGACAAATCAAATTACGTTATCACATCAAAGAGATGGACATAATAACTCATTCAGGTGCGGAGCCACGTGGGGACCAGGGTAGTACTTGCTCCCTCATTTTTGGGCCACCTTTAATGATAACTCATAAAATTATTTAATACATTATATTTGTCTTCTTAAATTTTTAAAATTTCAATAATGGTTCGAGTTTTTTTTTTCAATAAATTAGTAGTTTACTAATCCTCTAAAATAAATATTTTATTTTTAAATTGAGTAAATCAGATGTAACTATTCTAATCTATTTGTATATTGACAAAAAAATAATATTTCTTTTTATGTAACACAATGTTAATTATTTTTTAAGAATAATTTTTAATTTATCATTTTTTTAATAATAATAATTTATAACCCAATAAAATATGATTCTATACAAAATAAAACAGGTTGTAACCAAAAAATATTTTCAACTATTTCGAATAGAGAATTTCTCTATAAGATCGATAATAATCTCCAGTAAGTTTTGCAATTAGTTAAAGAATAATTTTATTACAAGCTTACGTTTGTGCGCATTGATAGAAAATTAGTGAATAATTAATTTATATTTAATTAATATACAATATTTTAGAGATTTTTTAAAAAAATTATATTTTATTAAAATATATAATTAAGTTAAAATGTACTAAAATAATTATTTATGTATTTTTATTTGAATTCTGTTTTGGCTAAATAAAAATTAAATTTACTATTTCACAATAATTTTGTCTTGAGTCTTAATATTTTTTTTATTCTTGCACTTAATTTTTTTATATCAACTAGTAACTTTATTTTCAATCATTTTTTCCCCTTCCTCATAGACATTCCCAGCTCCGCCCCTAAACTCATTCATTACCTTTAGCGGAGATTGACCTACTCACATCTTTACATGAGAGTATGCAGCAGCCAACTATGTTAGGCTTTGTTTATTTTGCACATTATATTTCTTGTGCATGTGCAAATTTTTCTGCGGTATAATGCCGAAAATTAATACTCTATTAGATCAAATTTTGACTTAATAGAGCACATTATAACCTAATGAAGTTGAATCAAGACCCTATCAAAAAAAATAGACAAATATAGTTGAAGAATCAATTAGCCTTGAATTTAAGAATTAGAACTGGTCCCAAGTTTTAAAAAATTCAACCTATACTTTCTGAAACAACTTATAAAATTGTAATTTGACCCAATTAGAACGTAATATATGTGAGACCGATATCAAATCAGTCCTAAGAAATTTTGGCTAATATAATCTAGGGCTTTGTAAGTTTTGTCTGTCAAAACTCTTTTTTCAATCATCAAACCTTTGGAGTGTTTGCTATAGGTTGTCTTCTTTGAGAAACCTTGTTTTTTATAGCTTTCTTGGCTTCCGCCCCCGCCCCACCACGCGTGGTAAATAACGGTGGAAACCAAAGAGGGTGCATGCTGGATTCCACTATGTGACCAAAAGCAAAGTTTTTCACATACAAGTATGCAACCCTTTCCTTCTTTTAATACCTGTCTCACCTTGTCTTTTAGTTGGGAGAGCGACTGGTTGAAGAAATAAACAATTTGATAGTCAGAAAATCGGGTTGCTCAGTTAATGTTTTCTTGACTCAAAGTCGACATTTTTTGACCCACATGCTTCTCTTTTGTAGATCAGAGTACTTTTAGATTTAAGTCGGAAGAGGTTAGATCACTTATTATGAAGTAAACTGGGATCCCTTGAATTCCACTAGTCCCACCACCAATATACAATCAAGGCTCGTTTGATAAACATATTATAAATGGATTAAATATTATATTGTGCTATTATTTTTTTAAGAGAATTCAGGCAACAAGTACAAAGTCCAAAGTCAGATACTTTTTTAAGCAAAAGGTCTATACTGGACGCATTTAAGGCGAAAGGTCTATAAAATATACAATTGATAAAAATATCTTTAATAAAGGAGATTATTTAGATATCCCAACATATCCTATCATCCACCCCACCCCACTCCACCGACAATGAACTAGAACTATCTGACAATGAACATAAAAGACAATAAACTAAAAACTCAAGGATCATTTGGAAATGTTATTGCTTTCATTTTTTAAAAAAAANCTAAGTGATTAATTTAGTGCAAAAAAAGTGGCTAGTCTAGTGGAGTTGGCGCCCTCTTTTCAACTTATGACGCAGTTACGGTGCTCTCTATGGGATTCGGTCAAGGGATGACGTGGGGATTGACTCTTTTCATGGCGGCGTGGATGAGACTCTTGGGATGACCATGCATGTTCCCTTGTTGATGTAGCTCCTCGAGCTTGATGAGC